AAAAAAAAAAAAAAAAAACTCAGCTTTCTACATACCTGAATGAATTAACTCCTCAGTTGCTGGGAATTCAGTGCTGCGATATTTGACACAAACAAAGTTTTGTAAATGCTATAATGCTTTAATGATTAAAATTGTATCATTAAAACACTTCATTATTACATTCACTGTACATGTAACTGCTTTAAACTTACATCTCTTTTATATGTTTCTGTATTATTTGCAGCAAAATTGACGGCACTTATAGGTGTGAAATGTGACTATCCACGCACACCTACTGTCTTCTGTCTGCATTTAAACTGGCATGGTGAACACAGTGCTGGAAATAATGATGCAATCAGGGTGAGCACTTTTAGGTTATTAACAGTTAGATGTCATATGGCTAATATTGGACATTGTAACATTAAGACTGACTGACTTACTTAATTCCACTGAATTTATTGACTAGTTTCATACATGAAATATGTAGATGCACAGATGTGACATGCATTACATTCAGTATATTTTGTGCAAAGAACATACAAAAATAACTGATGCAAGAATTTCTTCTCATTACTGAAGAAATATTGAATGTAGACTGATATATGTGTAAATACAAAATTAAGTTACAACAGCATAGTAATGACATAATAGAATTCATTTTCTTGATATTTAAAGGATATGGAACGTGAACTTAATGTTCACTGGATGGAACTGGTGGGTGGAGTGGGTTGGGGTAACACCCTCTTAGCAGCCCAGTTACTGCGACTCATGGCTTGTCTAGACGTGTTCCTGGAGTCATCAGGTGCTACGGGTGTCTCTCCTCCAGAGTTTCCTCGTGACAAAATATTTTTCCAGCCTGTCAGGTAGGTTATATGTTACTTTAGAATACGCCTTTGTTTTGTGTATTTTGATAGACTAATGAAATGAAAATTACTACAAAGATTTCACAGAGATATTTGAAAGACTTAAATCTTATATTTACATGCTCAGAAGTGGAGATTTTCCCATGGAGTTCTTCATTAGTTAAACATGATTGGTAATGATAGAATTTCAAATGATATACTAACTTATTTCATTGAAAAGTTGATGGTTAAAAAATGCCCTTCCTGAAGGAACCTGTTATGTTCACACCCTACCATTGGGCTATAACCTTAGTCAGTTCTAAAGTCCCCACCTCGAAATTCATCTTAACATTATCCCATCTATGTTGAAGTTTCCCTCATAGCGTCTTTCCTTGAGCTTTCCAGACCAAGAATTTTGTGTGCGTTTCTTATCTCCACATAAGTATTACATGTCCTCACCATCTTATCCTCCTTGATTTGATCTCTGTAACAGTATAACATATTATGAAGTTCTTCACTGTGTAGTTTTCTCATTCTTATTACATGCTCGTTTTTTAAGTTCAAATGTTCTTATCAGCACTTTCTCAAATGCCCTCAATTTATGTTCTCTCCTCAGGGACAGACAAAGTTTCACACCCATATGAAACAACTACATGGTAATTAATTTAGCTTAATTTTCTCAGGGGTAGAAGTCGCAGCAGACCCTACAAATATCTACGAGTTGCTGGTGGTATTTTCACACATCGCTGAAACATCCAAATCTTTTGGTGTATATTCTTGTCAGTTTATGCAATACCATTATGATTGTTGTTCACATCCTTGGTGAAGAAGTTCACAGTTTATAGCTGAACACCTAATACCATCCTCCATAATATATCTGTGAATTCTTATTGTGTCTCGTGAATGTTCTCATCTGTCATGTTTAGTTATGTGTGAATGTGATTGAAGGCAGATTTTTTTTCTCCAAATGTTCCTGATATTACATTCTAAATTTTGTTAAAAATGTTGTGAAAGAAGTTTGAATTTGACAAAAATGAAATTATTTCATATGATGGACCATTGAAATTGTGATTCTTATTTGTTTATGGTATTTCCTTTCTTGCCCTTCTCACCACTACCATCTCCACCCTTCCGTTTCTTTCGTCCCTTCCGACGAGCCAACTTGCGAGCTCTGTAAGCCCTCCAGTATCGTTGTATTTGCTGTGCTGATCTGTTGCAGATGAAAACATATATCTTCTGTTCCATTGCAGTTTGTTCCTCATCTGCTTTCTCCTTCATCAGTCTTTCATATACTTCCTGTTGAGCAGCAAAATTTTCCTATAATCGCAAAAATACATATAGTATTAGAATGAAATGCTGTTCCCTTTATACAGATGATAACTGTGGTGAAGAATAAATAAGAACCTGGGTGATGGCCAGTTTTTTTTTACTAAAATTCCTAGTAAATTTTTCTTGGTCTTGCTTATTTGCAAATATTTGTTTCCATCTTTATCACACTTTTATTCATTGTGACATACTGCATTCCATGATTAATTTTATTGATTGATTGTGTAGTTATTTATAAATATATTTTATCTGCATAAGTCATAGATTATATAGCACTGAATTGTTTGTTGGTTGTGAATTATGAAATGGAAAGGATCTGGAAGAATTCAAGCTGCTTTTAAGGTACGTATGTCACTTGTCTGAAGAAACTAAGGAAACCTCAGTATTGCCAGTCTTCTGTCAAGATTTAACTAACAAATAAACTGGGACCTCCCATATATGGAGGAGGGCTAACCATCTGACAGTGACATTCAGTATTGTGATTAATTTATTTGTCTCCCATTGAGTTTCCAGTCCCTTTGCATATGGATCCCACTTCTATTCAGCTTCAGTGCGTAATAGCTAAGAATTAATTTAAAATGCCCCACAGAGTACGGACTGTGTCCTTTTACTTGAAGACAGATGGCCAGAGTCAGTCTCCAAAATGCCAGATACGTTTGATATCCAGATAGTGGACTATATACAAAGAAAGTTCTCTAGTCGATACTAGACCAGTAACAAACTTTTAGAACCACATATTTTGTGTTTGTTCCTTAATAAACCTTTTCCATATGTCATAATAGATAATACTGCTGCTACATAGAAAGGTAGTGTGTATCATTTAAATTATTGTTAAAAATGTCTCTGAATGCTGTCAGTGGTAATTCAATTAAGAATATGAAGAATAACTTATCAGTTTGCAAGTTAGTTGTTTTTTTTACCTTAAGCTCTTGCATTTGTTGTTTTTTCTCCTTAAAACCAGCCAATGCCTCATCATACTCAGCTTGCTTCTGTCCAATGTCAGTATCATATTTGTTCAGCCAGCTGATTAGTTGTGTTTCTGCCTTCAGTCTGCAAAGAGAAAAAGAATAAAAATAATTACTAATTATTGCAATGTTGTGGTTGGCACACCTGTTATATAGTTGGGAGATCCTTGATTTGTATCTTCCCTTGAACACCAAGTGTCCTGACTGAGATGGTTCTCTCAGTCCCTCTGGGAATTCTTAAGGCAAGGTAGGTTTTTGATCAGTTGAATTTTTAATGTTATATCATTTGCACATTTATATAATTGAGCTTGGGCAGAATGAAAGTATTGTGCTGTTTATTAATTTGTTTATGACAATGTAAAATGTAGTAGTAATGAGATATGGAAAGTTGAATAAGATTTAGGATGTGGTCATGCTCTACTTCTGAAGTTCTACTTCAGCATTTACATGATGGGGCTGGGAGAATCCATGAAAAACATATCAGAAGTCAGTTTCCTCAGTATATAGCAGGAGTATCTTCACTTCTAATAACTGAAAAAATTAAAATCTTTTAAAGTAAATGAACCTGCACATAAGTCACACTAGTACCCTAGATCTCATTGCATGGTGTCACATAGATACAATTAAACCGTTGCTCCATGGTCTGCTTCAAAATGTTGATAGCCACTTAGCTGGTGAATACATTTCCTGCTTTTATGGAATACAGAAATTCATTATCACGTTCAGAAAAACATCTGCTGGTGCTTATCCTGTGTTATTTTAATCTATTACACAGTTAAGCACCAAACTTTTCCAAGGTCCCAGGTCTGCCAAGTGGTCTCTTCTCTGTAGGTTTTCAGCCTGATATTTTGTGAGAATTTATTGTTTCCTATGTATAGTACATGTCTCATCCATCCCTTTGCCCTTGATTTAATCATTGATGAAGCTCCTATATATGTAATTTTCTCCATTCTCAACTTACTTCTTCTTCTGTGATGCCAAATATTCACCTCTGCACTCTGTTCCATCAACTTCAGTTTTTGTTTTTCCCTTACACTGAGACATTTAAAAAAAATAAAACCCAAGTATGTGATGGGCTCTTTACTAATGATATAGTATGTGTATTAAATTTATGATTACCTTTTTCTTCTGAGCTCCTTTTCTTGGGCTAGGTAAATATGTAACAAGGATTTCATCTTGATGTTGAGGTTCCTTACTTCGTTCATCAGGGTTTCTTGTCGGCTCTCACTGTTCTTCAACTCCATCGCCATTTTGCATTCTGAGTCATAACTGTATGTGTATATAGTATAGTGGATTTATAGAAGTCTTTAGGATTTCATGGCATTTTATAGTTAATAATGTCTCCATTCTTGAGGTAGGACATTATTTTGTGGTGAGTTAATTTTCCTTCTTTTTAGCGAATATAGTTGCCTTTATTTACAAATATTGACTAAATAGTGATCAGACCATAAGGCAGTGGGAAATTCTGCATTGTTATTAGTGAATGTGTGGCCAATAGGACAGCAGATGTCAGTTTAAATGAAATGGTCTTAATCAGGATGTTTCATTATCCCAGTGAAAATTAGTCCCAGAGAGGGACTCATGTTCCGATATGTTTCCCTGTTGGCTGTATATCCACAGATCACAATATGGAATTCTAAATATTGACTATTTAATCACTTTGCCTTAGAAATGGTAACAGGCAAATTCTCTAAAGTAGTTTAATTCAGAGTTTAGTGAAAATGAATCGAGTAGTTTCAGAGCATGGAGATGCAAGACAAGGTCAGCTACACAGACAGATATAAACTTCACATTCCACTTTGCACAAACTACACTTTGTAATATTATTAGGATGAGATGCTAATCTAAAATGTCATCATAAATCATGTTATACTTACACTATTTTCTTCATGTCCTCATTGCATTTCTTGTTCAGTCTTTCAATCTTAGCTTTATGCTGGTTGATCAGTAAGTTCTTGGCCATAAGTTTTTGTTGTGTGTCATTGTTCTGTTCCTCCAGTTTAGCAGAGACGATTGAGATCTCAGCTTTGACTTGCTCGTTGTGATGCCACAGATGCCGTAAATAGCGTTCTCTCACACATTCATTGATTGGTAATGTTGAAAGGCATTTGATTGTGTAGGCTTTCAATTGTTTCAAATGCTTAATGAATATTGATGCTACTGGGGAAATCTAAAGAATACAAGATGAGGGTATTTTAATCCTTTTACTAACATCTATATGATAAGAAATGCATACAAATAACAGTGACTGTAAGAATGATTTTTCAAACCTCAGTCTTCAATTCCATGGCTATATTTCTTATCGCTTGCTTGTTCCATAACAGTTGAATGACTCGGCACATCTCTGGGTTCTGCCTTCCTTCTACTACTGTTATGCCAGGACTCTTACTCTGCTGGAAAACAGCATTATCCCCAGACATTTGATTACAATCATTTTCCCCCTTTGCAGTGTCTTTCTGGCTGTTATTGTCCCACTCTTCAGTAGTGTCAGGAGCACTGAGTTCTAAATCATGGTCATATGATTCATTCATGTACAGAGAGCAGGTTTCAAGGACTAGAGATATTTCTTCTTCCATCAGGTGTGGACGGAGCAGTTCTCCATCATTCTGTAGTAGCAATGGCAAGCACATCTGATGGAAGTTCAAAGAAAAAGTGCGTCAGCTATTGATAGACTTCAGTAACATTGGGTAAATTGACAATTGGGGCTGACATTACAAAGGTTTCTCTTATTTATGGATTATACCTCAGCTATACATTTCACACACGGCAATTATTACATCTGTACATATTGATACTCCCTGAAAGTAGTGAGCTTTATGTAAATATTTAATGTCATAACATACATTTTATATACCTACAAATTATTGTAGCCAAAAATGCAAGTAAAAATTGAGAAATAATGTTGACAAATCATTTAAAAATGTAAGTGTTCAAGTACAAATATAAGTTTGTAATTTATTAGTTGGGTTATGTTATAAGAGGTGAGGAGGTATTGGAGTGTCTGATTCTGCCTTAGGATTTTTAGTTATTTTTAATGGGAGTTATATTTTGTGTCTTTTCATTAGTGATGATTCCCAAAAACCCAACACAAAGTAGAGTTAACACAATCGGAAAATTCACCAGAGTGGGGTAAATTTGTTTCAAGAATTATATTTAAAAAACTGATAGTACTGTATTCATCACTGCCAAAATATTCATTGGACTTACCACTAATTCAGTTTTACAAATGGTGTGATTCAATATATTGGCAATTCGTTCAGCCTGAATTGCCACTTCTAAATCAACATGAGAAACACTATTTTCTTCATTATCTTCTTGCTCCACTAGTGTGGATTTAGACCTTGCAATAACAGATTTCATCATATTTGCAGAAGGTATAGACTGTAACTGTTAACTGCAAGGTTTGAATTGGTATACAGCTAAGGAATCTCACACAAATTACTTGGTTAGGATATATTTAATCTCAGTTTCTGTCGTTTGGAAGGTCACTTTGTTTATACTGTTTCCTTGGCAACAAAGTCTTCAGTGTACGCATGTAACACAGAAAAAGTGCGGAAGTTGAACTCTATTGTGGAGTACACATATTTTTCAAATGCACTGTTTAAGATTGCACCAGTACAAATCTCAATGAAGAAGCTAATAACACTGCAGATATACTGTGTAGTCAAAAAGTACATTCCTTTGCGTTTTGTTACTTGTCTACCGTGCTGAAAATATTTAAAATAAAAGTTATGTCACTTGTGCACAGTCAAGTCTGTGTCTGTTCTTTAATCACAATGCAAATATACTGCAGTCAGGGATTAGTTATCATATTTTGTTTCATATCCCCATAATGAAAATATTTTGAATAAAAGTTGTGTGTCAGTTGTTATCCACAGCAAACATCTTCACTGCCCTGAGAACCTAAAATCATAAAATGTTATGTGTTTGAAATAGGTTTTTGTGAGTCCTATATTTTATGTCATGAACCAGAATTTCTTATGATGAGCATTTTTTTCTAAATTGACAGATTTGAGCTTGATCTAAAAGAGATATTATATCAGGTGTTCTGAATGCATGGTTCACAACCTTCCAGTGTCTTATGCAGCCCACATTCATTTTTGTAATACCATAACTTATTCTATCATTCTGTACAATGAAAACTAATTAACTCCATACAGTAGATACTAAATTTTGAGTGCATATTAATAAAAATAACAACTGTATACATTTATTAAAGGTTAGAAACGTTTTTAGTAAAGTTCCATGAAGTTGCAATAAATTTACTAAATTTATAATATGGCAGCAAGATGCCCCAGGGTTTAAAATGTTAACCCAGGTTTTCTTTGTACCTAACCTAACCAAAATACATTTCCCTCTTAATTTTCAGGATAGAACCATAATACAGTATTTCATCAAAATTCATCATCAAAAAGTTTTGAAAATAAAACACCTGGATACAGATATGTGTACATGGCTTTCCCATTATGGGTTCATTTTATGCACATCATGTAAAGAATACATCAGATTTTCATTCTAGTAGATCTTTTGGCTGAAACACAAGTTTTGTTTATTTTACACATTATTACAGTTGACTGAGGAAGAAAAGCAAATAAATTCATTGTATTTATTAACTTTAATACCAGATTTAATACAAATAGCTTGTCAGAAAATTGATTACAGTAATTGCTGCCAATGCTCAAACCTTGTTTTTACATTTTTATAAAGGCTTGATATAAGTACTGAAATGGCTGCAGGCTAATGTAATTTCAGACCACCACACATTATGTTACCTCATACAAAAAAAATGTTTTTAATTGTTTACAAACAAACCTTGTTAGAATGCTATAAAACTTGTGTGTGCATGCAAACACACATCACACTTTCATGTAATACTCAAAAATCTTCTCATCTGTGATACATAATGATAAATAAAATGTCACATCTTAAGCAGTCAAACAGAATTACATCAACATTTTCACATGCTTCTAAATTTATGCCAAGATTAGAAGAAAGGATGGAAAGCTAAGTCCTAAGCTTGTATATACATATGACACTGTCACATTGTGCAAAATTAAAATACCCCAGAACGTAACATATGTCGTACTGCAATACTAGTGTTGGCCTCAATGCATGTTATAGGCCTAGCTTTTGGTTGCTTATTGCCTTTTTCCTCCTCCCCTGAACCTGGCATCAGGTTGATATGTTCTCTGATTATGTGAGTTGACACTGGTCTTGCTATTCTCAATGAGGGTTGCAGTGATGGTGGGTGACCCTTTCCTTGAGCCAGTGTTGCCATATACTGTTGCAGTCCTCTTGTGAGTTGTTGGTTCTCAAGAATGAGTGCTTCCTTGTGAAGACTCAGTGCAGCTCGTTCTAAGTAAGCTCGATTATATCTTTCCCAAAAATTGTCGAGTTTCATGTAATTGAAGATCTCCTATGACATTAAAGATTCTGAATTAATAATTTCATTGCTATCAACACTGTTCAGAAATTGATTATATCCTGAAATGTTGTGTCATTCATGCTAGTGGAGTTGTTATTGATCAAACATGATAATGATAATAACCTTTGCCAGTGGTTCTCTGGGTATATCCTTATAAGCCATTTCCAAAGTATCTTGTTCTGCTTGGTTTAGAATGGCAGAAGTGGGTAGACAAGTGACAAAAGGCAATACCTTCTCTCTTTCTGTTTCCATCCTTCGACACACACTTGCCAACTGCAGTATGCGTTCTCCTTTCTCCAAGAGCAATTGCAGTTCCTTGAAAACATAATTTAATTTGGATCCAGTATAGTAGAATGTCCGTGAAGAACAAATGGAGAAGGGAGGGAAGTAAAGCAGAGGAGGGGAACAACAACAATAATAATGGTAATAATAATGTTAGCTTTCGAAAATCTTTTCCAATTCATTGTCTGGTATTTCAGTGTTTGGCTTCCTGTATTTTTTATTTTGTTTCTCCTTGAGGAGACATTTCCTAGATGTAACATTTTTCAACGTCAGAAGGGTGAAAATAACAAGATTGGCATTACTTTTTATTTTGTGAGTCTGACTTATAAGACACTGATTGTTGAAGTAAAACTATGAAATTAGATTTTTACAACTCATTGCTACAGAAAAACTATGTGCTGTGTTGTTTGTATGAAAGCCCTACTATCTTCTATTAAACCAGTATTTACTGCAGAAACACCAGCTCGTAGATTTTGCAAACTGCCCATCAGTGCACCTGATGAACAGGCTATAGCTGGGAAAGACTGAATTGCCCCTGTTGTGGCTAGCAAGAACAACATACTGACGGCAAAAATGCAGAGTGCAGCCAGGAAAATCAGGGATTTTTAGTTGACATAAGTGTCTTGTTAAGTGACAGTGTCCTGTCAGTTAACCGGTCACAAATCATAACTGGTTCCTATTAAAATATAGTTCCCTAGTTCTGTTCTACTAAGGCCCCTGAATGAAACATTTTACATGTTTCTGCCCACCACATTCTGTTGACACTATAATTGACCTTTATAGCTTCATTGCTTGAGGTTATCAAGCAGTTCAGCTGCTTCTCATCAAGCCTGCTGCTGAATGCAAGCTCGTTCCGAAGTGAGACGAAGTGTTGGTGGTAGTTTGAGCGTTCTGCCTTTAGGTCATCTGTTTTTTGTTCACGCAGTGTCTTTAGACTTGCAAGCTGCTGCTTAAGGTTTGTGATCAGTTCCTGCAACAAACAATATTTTGGTTCTTTATATTACAGTATTATTGTTTTCTTGTTTAGTGTGATTTATACCATATATTTATGTTTGTGGTGCTTCATATAGTCCATTTACCATTGTGTCTTAAGCACTACACCATCAAGGTGTGAAACAGAACTTGAAGTAAAGTTTGATGCCGTAAACCACTGCTCCATCCACCTAACCCCTAAGGAAAGAAGTCATGTTATCCATTCACTAGAAGTTGTTTGAGCCCTAAAATCACTCTAATTGTGGTGCTAAACTGAAGAAAAAAACCTTTCTTTCTCTTGAATTCAAATCCCATTTGTGTAATTTGGCCAGTCAATTCAGTGCTAAGTTAACATAACTCAGTCTGTAGCTTTCATTTTTAAGAAACCAACAGTGTTTATAAATGTCTGGTAGTTTACTCCTGAATTATATATTCAGCATGAAGTGTTTTATTTTAAAGAGGACAGAGTTGTATGAATTAGGAATGCTCATATAATAAAGTAAGTGGCTAAATGCTAAATGAATGGGGTTTGATTCCTGACAGGGATTCTTCTGTTGGCAATCAATGTCCAGACTGGTTTGAGGTTGTGGCACACAACCATATGATTCTAACATTTAATTTTTCCAGAAATGTTCACATATATTTTTCATGTTATCACTCAATTGTGCATAAAATTTATTAATAATATAAATATTGACATTTACATAGAAATCGGTGATTATTTTACATTGCTTCAAAATAGACTCTGAAGCCAGCTCATCTTGGGCTTTCAGCTTGGCATATTGATTCCGCTTGTCTTCTGTAGATTTGATGTACTCTTGCAATGTTGCCTGAAACTCTTTCCATAACTTTTCTATTGTTGATTCACGATCATGCTGAACCCAATCTATGATGCTCAACATCTGGTTCCAAACAAAGAAATAAAATTATTGCAAAATAAAGATTTAAAAAGATAAGCAGGCATCATAAATTCTTCATGGAAATTATTCTTCAGAATGTGTATTTTAATCCCTTGTATATAAATAATGAGAGCTACCCACAAATTTAGTTCATTGGAATTTTCATAATAATTGTACTACTTTGCCCATTTAAATGTAATGTGCTATTTAAAGCAGGACACTAGATTCTGAAGTTAAATTAATTAATTAATTAAGATACATTAGACATTGGTGACCTGGAAGCACATAGTTAGATCAGATAAGTAAATGTCAGATTTGTGAATTAATTTATATCTTCAGGTATTGTATGCAAATAATTCCATGTACATCATTTTGGATTTCATCAGTCTTCATTGTATGATTTTGTTTCCAAGCAGAGGTCCATGTCTCCATGTCATGTAGCATTTGAAAGTTGATCGTTTGTAAATGTTCTTCATAATACTTGGCTCCAGATAAAATCTTTTGTTCTTCCCTTGAAGCTTCAAGGAGCAGTGCACCATGATCTCGAGCATAACTCTCTCGAAGTTGTTCAAGTCGCTTTGCATGTAATGCTGTAGTGAACAAAATACAAAACGTAAGTAAACAGCCCTGATCTTGAAAAGCTTATTTTCCGTAAAATTATTTTATTTGAAAAAACTATAATCTTCATATGAAGTCTTTTTTTGTAAGTACAGAGGACTTTCACATTGGTTAAAAAAAAATTATATTGACTATTTGCTCACAGAGCAATTTAACTGTGAACAAAATTGGTTTAAACTGTAAGAAAATCATTCTCGAAGAGCAGTAATTGTACTATCTTGGAGTTAGACTGGAGGGACTGAGTAAACCACAAAACTCAGTTGCCTCTTGTCACATCTAAGATGATTTGTGGATTATTTTATTTATGCTGCATCAGCTACAGTGGTTATTTATCAATGAGTAAGGTTATCAGGAAAGAGCTGGGAAGAAATGGTAATAGCTTCTTTCAGGGTACTGTCCTGGATTTCACTTGTAATGACTGAGGAGAAAAGCCTATCTGAAAAATGTTCTTACATACCTATAAGCTCATCAATAGTTTCAGCATGTGACTGAAAATTTCTAGCATATTGTTCCTCTGACTGGTCTAGCTCCTTCAACAGACTTTCAATTACATGATTCTTAGACTCTATAACATGCTCAAATAAGTTCCACAGGTTCTGAAAGAAAATTGTAACATTCTGAATAATATTTATGATATAAGGAATACTTCACAAGAAATATCAGTACTCACAATTATTATAATGAATTTTACGGTTACTACTAGTAGATATATTTAACTTTTCAGCATACATTTGTAGAGGTGAAGTTACAATGATTCATGAATTTTTGTATTCAAAATAGCAGGATCAGCTGAATACTACTGTTTTCCAGTCCGGATTGTTGGGTTTTCGGACCTTGTCCATCATCTTAATGTTATAAAATATACAACACAATATTATTTTATAGTTAACTAAAAATAATTTCATACTTTATACAACTATATCACCCCTAACAGCTTTCTTTCTTACTTACTTATTTATGTGAGTCCAAATCAAAAAATTGCCAGTACAGTTTCATAATTCTGTTTACCTCCACATCCTGCTTCATTTCCTTTGTCTTAATTTGTCTCAGGATATGACGCCACTGTTGGTTGATTTTTGCAAGGTTAAGTCTTGTAAATGCTTCTTCATGTTTCAATTTATTCTGTATTTGAAAAACAGAAAGAAGATTTCTGTATTGTTTTGTAATGTCAGGCTTCCATTCTGTGTATATTACAGCGGCTGTTAGGATGCTTGGAATATTTCACAATCTCACCTTCATGAAAGTAGCAATAAGTTGTTGTTTGCACTGTCTTGCCTCTTCTTCTATAGCTGCTCTGTGTTGTAAATATCTTGCTCGTTCTTCCTCGGTCATGCGCGATAGTTTGCTTCCTTTCCCTTTCTTTTTTGGTGCCATTGTTCTCTTTCAAATAAACTCACTTGCCAATTGAAAAGAAAATATTTTATATATCATAGATGTTCAACATATCAGGATTTTTGAGGTGGACATTGGTCTTTTAATCCATTTAGGATAAAACTG